TAGGTTAGGTTAGGGTTCAGGTCAGGTTTAGGTTAGGTTAGGGTTAGGTAGGTTAGGTCAGGTTAAGGGTTTGGTTAGGTTAGGTTATGTTAGGTTAAGTTAGGTAGGTTAGGTTAGGTTAGGTTAGGTTGGTTAGGTTTTGGTTAGGTCAGGTTAGTCAGGTTTAGGTGTTTGGTTAGGTTATGTTAGGTTAAGGTTCGGTTAGGTTAGGTCAGGATTTGGTTAGGTTAGGTTAGGTTAGGTTTAGGTTAGGTTAGGTTAGGTTAGGTTAGGTTAAGGTTAGGTTCGGGTAGGTTAGGTTAGGTTAGGTTAGGTTAGGTTAGGTTAGGTTAGGTTCGGTTAGGTTAGTTAGGTTAGGTTAGTTAGGTTAGGTTAGGTTAGGTTTAGGTAGTAGGTTAAGGTTAGGTTAGGTTAGGTTAGGTTAGGTCAGGTTAGGTGTAGGTTAGGTTAGGTTAGGTTTGGTGAGGTATTAGGTTAGGTAGGTTAGGTTAAGTTAGGTTAGGTTAGGTCAGGTTAGGTTAGGTTAGGTTAGGTAGGTTAGGTTAGGTGGTCAGGTTTTGGTTAGGGTTAGGTTAGGTTATGTTAGGTTAAGTTAGGTGAGGTTAGGTTAGGTTAGGTTAGGTTAGGTTAGGTTGGGTTAGGTAGGTTAGGTCAGGTTAGGTTAGGTTAGGTTAGGTTTAGTTAGGTTAAGTTAGGTTCGGTTAGGTTAGGTTAGGTTAGGTTAGTTGTTAGGTTCGGTTAGGTTAGGTTAGGTTTGGTTAGGTTAGGTTAGGTTAGGTAGGTTATTGGTTTAGGTTAGGTTAGGTTTGTTAGTTTAGGTTAGGGAGGTAGGTGAGGTTAGGTTAGGTTAGGTTAGGTTAGGTTAGGTTGGAAGTTGGTGAGGTTAGGTTAGGATTAGGTTAGGTTAGGTTAGGTTAGGTTAGGTGGGTTAGGGTTTGGGGTTGGTTTGGTTAGGTTAGGTTAGGTTGGTCAGGTTAGGTCAGCTTAGGGTTTGGTTAGGGTTTGGTTTGGTCAGGTTAGGTTTTTAGGTTAGGGTTTGGTCAGGTTAGGTCGGTTTTGGTCAGGTTTGGTTATTTTTTGGGTTTGGTTTTAGGTTTTGGTGAGGTTAGGGTTTGGTTAGGTTAGGTTAGGTTTTGGTTACTTAGTGAGGTTAGGTGAGGTTAGGCTTTGGTTAGGTTAGGGGGAGGGTTTGGTTAGGTTTAGGGATTGGTTAGGGTTAGGTTAGGTTAGGTTAGGTTAGGTTAGGTTCGGGTTTTGGTTAGGTTAGGTTTGGTTAGGTTAGGTTGGAGATTG